CGCACGAGGCTGGGCCAGCGGTGCGGGCGGGTCCTCGATGGCAGCGTGGCCTTGTCCTCGCCTGCCCCGCGTGCTAGCCGGAGACCAAGTCTGGGCTGAACTAGCCCTTCCTTAGAGATAGATCGCGGCATCCTTTGACCTTTAGCTGTCCTGATGTGTGTGTCCTCCCCCCGCCCCAACGCTGTCCAATATCTTTTTTTTGTCTGTTAGCCAGAGACTATGCGGCGCAGACGTCTCCGTCGCCGAAGGCAGGCGCTGCCACCGGGCGAATCGTGGCGGTCATCGGCGCCGTGGTGGACGTCCAGTTCGATGAGGGATTGCCGCCCATCCTAAATGCCCTGGAAGTGCAGGGCAGGGATACCAGACTGGTTTTGGAGGTGGCCCAGCACTTGGGTAAGTAGGATATTTTTTTAGGCATGATGAAGAGCTTGTTAAGTGTCACAAAATCCATGCTGTCTCCCTTCTGTGATGATTTTATCAAAATGACTTTCGTTCTTCTGAGATTGCTGAAGCCGCATTCAGTTGCTGAGGGGGAGTCTTGTTTGCTTTTGGACACACTTTGTCGAGTATTGTCAGTGCTTTGGTCCCTGTAACCTCTGGTGCCTTTATCTGACAGGGGAGAGCACCGTCCGAACCATTGCTATGGATGGTACTGAAGGCTTGGTTAGGGGCCAGAAAGTCCTGGATTCCGGGGCACCAATCAAAATTCCCGTCGGTCCAGAGACCTTGGGCCGAATCATGAACGTCATTGGAGAACCTATTGATGAGAGAGGCCCAATCAAAACCAAACAGTAAGTTCCCCTTCATTTCGTTTGTGTACCTGGGAACTTTACTCTGCAGTTTTACGCATTAGGGTAATAGCTTGTAATAGAGTTTCCCTACTGTTTTACTTAAATTTCTGTTGTCTTCAGTTGTTGAAACTAGAGATAGAGAAGTTCGGGTTGTTGAAGACTTGGTACTTAGAAGTGCGGGCCCCCCCCCCCCATTGGTTTATTTTCCTATTGGTATATGAAGGAATTTTGTTACCTTAAGGTTCATGAAAGGGCCGGGTGTTGGTGGTGCACGCCCTTTAATCCCAGCAGAGGCAGAGGATCTCTGTGAGTTCAAGACCAGCCTGGTCTACAAGAGCTAGTTCCAGGACAGCCTCCAAAGCCACAGAGAAACCCTGTCTCGGGGGGAACAAAAAAAAAAAAAAAAAAAAAAAGGGAAAAAAGGGGGGGGTTCAGGAAAGGAGTTATTTATTCCTGAGACAAAGTCTTTACTGCAGAAAGTTAGATGTTACGTGACAGCTACCTGGACAAGATTAGACTCTGTTGGCAGGGACTTGAGTGGCTTCCCTGAACGGTGAACAGTCACTGACCCTCTTCTTGTATTTAAACCTTACAGATTTGCTCCTATTCATGCTGAAGCTCCTGAGTTCATAGAGATGAGTGTGGAGCAGGAGATCCTGGTGACTGGTATAAAGGTTGTGGACCTGCTGGCCCCATACGCCAAGGGTGGCAAGATCGGTATGTTGTTTGACAGGTGTTGTCCAGATACAGCCGGGGAGGGAAATGCCATCTGAGTGTGTGATGTCCTTCGTTGATGATTAGTTTCTGACTTTCGTTCTTCTGAGATTGCTGAAGCCAGATACCATTGCTGAGAAGGGAAAAGATGGGCAGACGTGAACGTTGTTTGAGGTGGCTTAATTTGGGAATGCCGAAATGCAATACCTTCTTTTAACCTAGGACTCTTCGGTGGGGCTGGCGTTGGGAAGACAGTACTGATCATGGAGTTAATCAACAATGTCGCTAAAGCCCATGGTGGTTACTCTGTGTTTGCTGGTGTTGGTGAGAGGACCCGCGAAGGCAATGATTTGTACCATGAAATGATTGAGTCTGGTGTTATCAACCTAAAAGATGCTACCTCCAAGGTGAGTGCTGAGCAAATTGATGCCCACATAGGGCGATTCAGAAAACAGTGCCAGCTGAAGCCATGATTTGTATTTGATGTTAAGTGTCCCAGGACCTGTAAACACAATCCTTTCCATTCCCACCACCGTCTTCCTGTACGCCAGAGTACATTTTCCTCTGGTGTGAGCTACTTCTAGTCTTTAGTTCTGATAGATAACCCAGTTATTTAAGAGCCGATTTGCAGGGATTGAATGGAAGGGATTCCCATATCTCAGACAACCCTGTTTTATATGTTTTATTTCAGTTCAGAAATTATCTTTAGTGTTTGAATTTCATGTCAAATGGTGAGGAGAAATTTGCAAACAAACATCTAAGTGGGAGACGTGGTGGTTTCTTTCCCATTTGGGAACCTGCTAACTTCTCTGATGTGCGTACTTAACCACAGGTGGCGTTGGTATATGGACAGATGAATGAACCACCTGGTGCTCGTGCCCGGGTAGCTCTGACTGGTCTTACCGTTGCTGAATACTTCAGAGACCAAGAAGGTCAAGATGTCCTACTGTTTATTGACAACATCTTCCGCTTCACCCAGGCTGGCTCAGAGGTAATGGGGGAAGCCTAGAGTGGACTGGTGGTCATAATAGCATAAAGATGTAGACATATAGACCTGGCTTTCACTTCTGTCTTTTAGGTGTCTGCCTTATTGGGCAGAATCCCTTCTGCTGTAGGCTACCAGCCCACTCTAGCCACTGACATGGGTACGATGCAGGAAAGAATCACCACCACCAAGAAGGGTTCTATCACCTCTGTGCAGGTAAGGAGAATAAGTGGATAAAGATTAGAGTTAGTAGAAAGGAATCTAGGAAGATATATAACTTGTATTTTGTATTTTGGCCTGGAGGGGATAGTGCAGTGTTTAAGAGAAAAACACTTCTATCTCTCCAGAGGACTTGGGTTTAGTTTAGTAGCTATGTCAGATGGCTCATAACCATCTGTAGCTCCAGCTGAGTGGATCTGCTGCCCTCTGCCGGTCTGTATCTTAGGCAACCTGCACACACATGCTGAGTGTATATAGATTCAGGCATACATATGTACACATTAAAATAGCACTTGGTGTCTGGGTGCAGTGGCACACACCTTCAATCCCAGCACTCAGGCAGAAGCAGGTGGATTTCTGAGTTCATGATCAACCTGGTCTACATGAGAGTTCCAGGAAAAAGGGTCTTACTGTTTGACACAGGGTTTCACCTTTATGTAGCCTTGGAACTATGTAGACCAGGCTGGTCTTGAACTCAGAGACCCATCTGCCTCTCAAGTGTTGGGATTAAATGCTCGGATTTAATACTTTTGAATGGGGGGAGTTAACCAGTTAGAATAATGTCTAAAATCCCATGTTTGCATGTCAGACTGTAGGTGGTAAAACAAACACTATCTGGAGCTGGTATTAAATGACCTTAGGCTGGGCGTTGGTGGCACACGCCTTTAATCCCAGCACTTGGGAAGCAGAGGCAGACGGATCTCTGTGAGTTCGAGGCCAGCCTGGTCTCCAGAGGGAGTGCCAGGACAGGCTCCAAAGCTGCACAGAGAAACCCTGTCTCGGAAAGAAAAAAAATGACCGTAGCACATGGGAAGAGGCAGGAAGATCTGGAATTCAAGGCTGTTTTCAGCTCCATAGTGAGTTCCTGGCTAACTTGGCTACATGACGCTCAGAGTTTGTCTCACAAAACCCAGAAAATGAAACACTCATCTAATGATTTGAAGGTGTCTGGGGCTGGAGTAATGGCTCAGCAATTAAAAATACTTTCTGATACCTAGCAGTGGTGGTGCACGCCTTTAATCCCAGCACTCAGGAGGCAGAGGCAGTCGGAACCTACTCAACAGAGTAAGTTCCAGGATTGGCTCCAAAGCTGCAGAGAGAAACCCTGCCTCTGGGGGGTTGGGGAGGAATCCTGTTTCTTGCAAAGGATTTGGATTCTATTCTTAATACCTAATGGTGGCTCACTGCCACCTGTAACTCCAGTTCCAGGGATCTGACACACTCTTCTACTTTCTGCAGGTTCATGCATACATTTGTGCACATAAACTCATGAGGGCACATAGCAATAATAAAACATAACTTTTACTCTTGAGATTAGATTGGCCTCTGTGGTTCTAGACCTGGTGCTTAATATCTACCCAGTTTAGTTGTCAGCTTAGCAGTCTTTCTGCCTCTGCTTCTGAAGTGTTGGGATTGCAGATAAGAGCCATCAGCTCATCTGGCTTTCATTGTTTCCTTGTTTGTGTGTTGTGGGGCAAGTATTCTGGGACTTGACCTGAAGGCTTTGACTGCTAAACATAACCTTGTCTTTAGAGGTCCACTCTTATGTTCATGTTCACTAAACTATTGTACACTCTTTTTGTTTTTATTTTATGTGCATTGGTGGTTTGCATGTCTGTATGTCTGTGAGTGCCAGATCCCCTAGAATAGGAGTTACAGACACACCTATGAGCCACCATGTATGTAGTTGCTGGGAATAGAACTCAGGACCTCCAGAAGAGCAGCCAGCACTCTTAAACATCTGAGCCATTCTCTTTCCAGCCCCTATTGTGCACTGTTACGTTAATGTTTACTTAGTGCTAGGCTTTTTTATTCTGTGGGGTTTTATTTTCTTTTGTTTTTATTTGCTTTTTGATTTTTTTAAGACAGGGTCCCTGTTGTAGCCTTGGTTGTCTTTGAACTTGATCTGTAATCCAGGCTGCCCCTGCTTTTTTTTTTGTTTTGTTTTGTTTGGTTTTGGTTTTTCAAGACAGTGTTTCTCTGTGGCTTTGGAGGCTGTCCTGGAAATAGCTCTTGTAGACCAGGCTGGTATCGAACTCAGAGATCCGCCTGACTGTACCTCCTGAGTGCTGGGATTAAAGGCGTACGCCACCACCGCCTGGCAAAGGTTGTGATTTTGAGACTAGCATGGGCCTATAATAAGACAAGTCTGACAGGTGGGAAAAGCAGATGGTCTAAGTAGGGATTAGTTTGCTCGATGCTGACCTCCATGAGTTGTTGGTTCACTTTAGGCCATCTATGTGCCTGCGGATGACTTGACTGACCCTGCCCCTGCAACTACTTTTGCCCATTTGGATGCTACAACCGTGCTGTCCCGTGCCATTGCTGAGTTGGGCATCTATCCAGCTGTGGATCCTCTGGACTCCACCTCTCGAATCATGGATCCAAATATTGTTGGCAATGAACATTATGATGTTGCCCGAGGGGTGCAGAAGATCCTGCAGGTGAGTGTCTCTATGGGGTCTGTGGCCCTCAAGTCACAAGGAAGGAATTTTAGAGCTGATTAAGGGCTGTATCTTCTCTAATCGTTTGCGTGATGTGTTTTGGAACAAGGAAAGTTGAGGATGAATTTGCAGTACCGATGAGGTCCCTGGTTTTAGATTTAGTATAATTGATGAGGAATAGGAAGAACTAGACACAAATCTTGGCCAGGGTCACCTGAAACTTTTCTAATAGGTTTCTAAATTAGAGGAGTGTACACTTACCTCTGTCCTTTTCATCTTGTGTTCTTTTAGGACTACAAATCTCTCCAGGACATCATTGCCATCTTGGGTATGGATGAACTTTCTGAGGAAGATAAATTGACTGTGTCCCGGGCAAGAAAAATACAGCGCTTCTTGTCTCAGCCATTCCAGGTTGCTGAGGTCTTCACGGGTCATATGGGAAAGCTGGTGCCCTTGAAGGAGACCATTAAAGGATTCCAGCAGATTTTAGCCGGTGAGATTTTTCTGCCAAGCTAACCATAAAAATGATACAAAGAACTGAATCCTTAAGTGAATATTCTATCTTCCCACTATAACACAAATGATTAAAGGGGCATTACAGAAAATATTAAACTGTCCCATGGCACTGAGCCTCCCCCCCAGAGTAAGAATTTGAACTCAGGTGCTCCAAATTATGTCCATATTTTTCAGTGCTTGTGTCTTGAGTGTGTGTGTGTGCATGTAGAAGCTGGGGAAGGGGCTAGATAGATCCCTTGAACAGCCAGTGGAGGCCAGGCCAGAAGGACTACAGGTGGCCACCATGTGCGTGCTGGTGCCCTCCAGAAGAGAAGTCCATGCTCCTACCTGCTGAGCCATCTCTCTAGCTTCAAACTATGGTTTGCCTTTTTGTTTTATTTTTCAAGACAGGGTTTCTCTGTGTAGCCCTGGCTGTCCTGCAACTGGCTTTGTAGACCAGGCTGACCTCTAACTCTCAGAGATCCGCCTGCTTCTGCCTCCCAGGTGCTGGGATTAAAGGTGTGCCACCACACCTGGTTTAATTATGTTCTTTTTTTTTAATATTTTATTTATGTATACAACACTCTGCCTCCATGTATATCTGCACACCAGAAGAGGGCACCAGATCTCATAACAGATGGTTGTGAGCCACCATGTGGTTGCTGGGAACGGAACTCAGGACCTCTGGAAGAGCTGTCAGTGCTCTTAACCTCTGAGCCATCTCCAGCCCAATTATGTGTTCTTAATCTATGTCTTGTCTACACTTGGAAGGGGACAGGTATGGTGGTGGACATCTTTAATCCCAGTACTCCCAAGTAGATCTCTGTGGGTTCTTGAGTTCAGGGCCAGCCATGGTTATATAATGAAACCTTGTCCCAAAAACCAAAAAGTAAATTTCACTTCGAAGTTTCCTTGAATGATAAAAATTTGCTAGTATGGCCATGACTTCAAATGCTGAGGTTGTATATTGTGCAGAAAGTTGATGTAACTACTTTTACT